GTAGAGTCTTGTAACTGCCACTGTAATCATGGTACAGAAATCAGACCTACCCTCTCCTCGCCATTCCTTACCCCTGGCAACCACTGATCTCTTTCCCATCTCTAGAATTTTTCCATTTTGAGAATGTTATATAAATAGAATCACACAGCATTATCTTCTGAGTTTGGCTTTTTTCACTTGGCACAGTCCCTTGACATCCAAGTTATATATCTCAATCAGCACTGCTAAGCAATATTCTGTGGTACGGAAGTGCCATAGTCTCTTGAGTCATTCACTTGTTGAGAGATGTTTTGGTTGTGTCTAGTTGTTGAGCATTATAAATAAAGTGACTGTGAGCATCTTGTGTACAGGTTCTTGTGTGTGCATAAATTTTCGTTTCTCTGGTATAAATGTCCAAAAGTGTGATTGCTGGGTTGTGTGCGGAGTGTATGATTAGTTTTAAAAGAAACTGCCAAGTTGTTTTCCAAAATGGCTGTACCATTTTACATTTCCACCAGCAATGTATGACAGATGCAGTTTCTCCACATCCTCATCATTTGGTATTGTCACTATTTTTTTATTTTAGCTGTTCAAATACGTGGGTAGTTTTATCCTATCATGGTCTTAATTTGCATTTCCCTAATGGCTAATGATGTTGAATGTCTTTTCATGTGTATATTTGCCATCATATATCCTCTTTGGTAACATGTCTCTTCATGTCCATTGCCCATTTTCTAATTGAATTGTTTTTTTGCTGTTGAGATTTGAGAGTTCTTTTTATGTATTTTAAATACATATCAATTGTCAGGAATGTGGTTTGCAAATATTTTCTCTCAGTCTATAGCTTGTCATTTCATCCTCTTAACAGTCGTTTGCAATACACAAGTTTTTAAAATTTTGAAGAAGTCCAACTTATTTTTTTTCTTTTATGGATTGTGCTTTTGTTGTTACATCTAAAACCTCTTCACGAACAAGCCCTAGGTCCTGAAGATTTTCTCTTATGTTTTATTCTAAAAGTTATATAATTTTACACTTTATATTTAAGTTGCTTGATCCATTTTGTATTGTTTGTGTAAGATCTGGGTCAGGGTTCTTGGCCTGTGGATGTTGAATTGCTTCGGCGCTGTTGGTTGAAAAGGTTATTCTTGGGATGCCAGGGTGGCTCAGTTGGTTGAGTGTCTGACTCTTGGTTTTGGCTCAGGTCATGATCTCATGGGTGGTGGGATTGAGCCCTGCATTGGGCTCCCCATTCTGTGCTCAGCATTTTGGGGGGGGTGCGGTTGAAAGATTCTCTCCCTCTGCCCCACCCCCCAGTCAGGCACGCTTGCTCTCTCTCTAAAAATAAAATAAATCTTTTATTTTTTATTTTTTATTTTTATTTTTATTTTTTTTAAAGATTTTATTTATTTATTTGACAGAGAGAGACAGCACGAGAGCAGGAACACAAGCAGGGGGAGTGGGAGAGGGAGAAGCAGGCTTCCCGCGGAGCAGGGAGCCTGATGCGGGGCTTGATCCCAGGACCCTGGGACCATGACCTGAGCCGAAGGCAGACGCTTAACGCCTGAGCCACCCAGGCGCCCCAAATCTTTTTTTTTTAAAGATTTATTTATTTATTTTGAGAGAGTGAGAATGAGAGAGAGAGAGAGAGTACATGAGAGGGGGGAGGGTTAGAGGGAGAAGCAGGCCCCTCGCTGAGCAGGGAGCCCGATGCGG